CGATTTTCGCTATCCGATAAGGATTTTGGCCATCCGATAAATCCCCGATAACCGATATTTAAAACCTTGGTAAGGCCTGATACAGACTGGCTTAGTTCCAGCTTCTAGGGGAATTTTATGATCAATCTCTCTGGTGGGAGGAAGATGTGGCAATTCTTGGAATATAACATCAATTTCTTGTATCAATTTGTGCATATCTGCAGGTAACCCTTCATGACTAATTTTTGTGGTGGATTCTTGTAAGCTAACATTGCACAACTGAATTAAGTACCCCTCTTCCTGCTCCCCGACAGATTTAGCAATATTTTTCTCATTAACCAACTGCAATTCCTCTGGAATTATTCCCTATAATATTCTCTTGATCCCATCACACAGGAATGTCACCTGTAATTTCTTAAAGTTTAGAGTGATATCTTCCAAAGTTTTCATCTAATCTGCTCCTAACATAATTTGACCGACTCCCATAAGCATCACTAACAAGTTTACTTGGATGTTCACTCCTTGACAATCGAGTGACACCCCTTAGCACACTCCAGCTCTTTTGATTAGTTCTCCACTGGCCACAAGAACATCAAAATTGTTATACTCCGTCATTGACAGCCTAAGTTTTTTGACCAATTTGGCATTGATGAAATTATGTGTGGAACCAGAATCTATCAAAATACTGATGGCTTGGTTTTTGTAATAGCCCACAACTCTAATGGTGTGAGAAGCTGTGATTCCACTAAGAGCTTGCACTGAATTGGAGGGGGCTCCCTTTACTAAACTTTCAGCCAGTTCAATTGCTAGATCTCCTTCTTCATTTCTTCTAGAGTCATCTACCCCTTCCTCAGTACCTCCTTCTAGGATTCCCTTCAAGTTAAATAAATGCTTTCCCTTACACTGATGCCCTTTGTGCCACTTTTCGTCACATGTAAACATAGATTCTGACTCCTCTTTTGTATCTCTTCAGGTGAGTTTCTTGAATTTAGAAGAGGACTTTGGTTTCTCTTGTACAGGAAATTCATGAGAGGAACGGTTTGATGGACCTCCTTGATTAAAAACATTCCAGTTCCCTTTTATTCTTTTTGTATAGAGGCATGTCGGTCGACCGGTGGGGCTTCCTAGACGAATCTAGGCTCTTGTTTAACGTGTATTCCAAGTTGAGTTAGGCTTGGTTATTTACGATTTTACCATCCACGATGTTTGACATATAAATAGGGATTGTTTAGGGTTTCTAAACATCAGATTAGATTAAAAAGAGAATAGAGAGGTTGTTCTTTATTCTAGTGAGATTGTGAGTAAGAGGTTTTGTATCTTCCAAATTTTTCGTAATCTAGAGAAGGTATTTTCCTTCGCCAATTGAACTATTTTGTGTGTCTTTACTGTTTTCTTCTCAACCCTATCTTTGATAATTCTGTGACCAAAGGTGCTCGTACGGCGATTCGTATCAAATTGGTATCAGAGCTAATCAGATTCTGTGAAAGGGTAATCTTATGCAATACAAGAAGCTAGGCGAGATTCTTATTTCTTTAGAAGAAGTCCAGAAATCAGATTCTTATTTCTTTGGAAGAAGTCCATAAATCAAGGAAGAAGATGACAGAAAGTGACAATTCAACAAGGCTTGATGCGTTGGAGAAATGGATCGAAATAATCGGGTCGACTCTCACACAACTCGTCGATCTCATCCATAGAGGGAACAAAAAGGGCAAATCTTCTTCGAAGTCCAATAAGAAACCCGAATAGTCTGGTGGAGAGAGTGAAAATTCAGATTCCGATGAGAAGGTTGAGACCGTTAAGACTGCTCCACATCAAGGGGATAAGGGTCATTATCAGAACCTGAAGATTGATTTTAGAGTAGAGATTCTTGTTTATGAAGTGAATGTTGATGTTGAAAGGCTTGATGATTGGCTCAAGTGTATGGAGACCTATTTCACTCTTTATAGCTATTCATCAAAGGAGAAGATTATTTTTGCGACATTGAAGCTATCCGAACACGCATTGACGTGATGGAAATCCTATTGTAAGCAGGAGAAGAAAGCGATATCGTGGAACAAAGAGCTACTGAGGAAGCAGTTCTACCCGGTGGGTTTTCTTGAAGAGCGTTGGTGCAATTGGTACGGCTTGCGCTAGAGGTTCAATCAGACCGTTCAAGAATACACCACGGAGTTCCAGCAGCAGGCGATGGTCCTTAACATCGCTACAAAAGAGTACTCTATTTTCATGAAGTATATGGCGGGTCTGAATGAATATATCCGGAAGGAGATAAAGTTGTTCACGGTTGAGTTGATTACAGAGACGAACGTGAAGGCTATTGTCATTGAGGGCAAGCAGAAGAAAGGCAACGAGACAAAGGGGGATGTCAAACAAACGAGAGGCAAGTCTAGTGGCTCTCAACATTAGGAGGAGAAGAAGGAGGGCGACTCAGGGAAGGCAGAATTGACTTGGAATCACTGCAAGCAGACAGTGCATGTAGCTGATCGATGTTAGGAGGAGTATCCTCATCTGAAGCCGAAGGGGTTGAAGAGAAGGAGAAGAAAAAGACATACATAATAGCACAGGGTCCAAAGAAAGTTCCCGAGATAGAACCTAACAACAGTCTCAATCTTATGGTAGGAAAACAGGTTGCGAAGGAGGACGAAAACCCTAGAGAGCAGCTCTTTGTGCTTAAGTTGCAGGTGAATACTAGTTTGGTAGATGTCATAGTTTATCCAGGCAGCGAGAAAAATTTGATTTCCGAGGCCTTGGTTCAGAAGCTGGGTCTGAAGACGGTCAAACATCTAAAGCCCTATCCATTGGGGTGGATTCAGAAGGAGACGGGGCTGAGTGTAGTTAATCAATACACTTTCAGATTTACACTCCACCAGTCGTATATTGACGAGGTCACGTGCGACGTAGTTCCATTGGATGTTTATTAGGTTATACTGAGCAATCCGTATTTGTGGGATAGATACGCAATCTACGAAAAACGAGCTCAGAAGTACACATTCACTAAAGACGGTGAGAAGTTCATATTTCGTTCGGCGTCTCTTTCGAATGAGACAAACTTGGTGACAGTGACCCGGGTGAAGAGGCTGAATGCAAGCAAGAAGTTTGTCTCGCTGTTCATTAGGCCTTATGAGAGGCTATTGAAAGAGGATTGTATTTTGGAGCGAAAGTGACTACGACTAGATGGTAGATGAAGGAATCGTTTCTGGTTGGACGTCAAGGTCGGGTTCCTAGCAAGGCCAGGTGATTCAACAAAGGAGGAGGGGCTCGAGAGTTCCCTCAGCTGAAAAGTTCTAACTTGAATGAAACTTCAAGTTCCTAAAGGGGGAGCCATGATACTGGTGTATCTTCTCTCTGTTTCGAGAGCTTAGCGATCCTCATGGGAGCTTGAGGATAGACGATGCTCATGATAACTTGAGAATAGAAGCATGCGTGGGTGGAGTTATCGAAAGCGACGAAAACAATCAAAATCAGGAAAAACTGCAAGAAACTGAGAAGTCTCTGGCCGGTCGACCGATGAGGTATGTTCGGTCGATCGATCGACCATCGTCGGTCGACCGAAAACGGATACATTACAGTCGCATAATCCATGTCTTTGTCCAGTCGACCGACAGAGGTATGTCGGTCGACCGATGGGGCTTCCTGGACGAATCTGGACTCTTGTTTGACGCGTATTCTAAGTTGAGTTGGGCTTAGTTATTTATGATTTTGCCATCCACGTTGTTTGACATATAAATATGGATTGTTTAGAGTTTCTAAACATCAGATTTGATTAAAAAGAAAATAGAGACGTTGTTCTTTATTCTAGTGAGATTATGAGAGAGATTTTGTAATCTTCTAAATTCTTCATAATCTAGAGAATGTATTTTTCTTCGCTAATTAAACTGTTTTGTGTGACTTTACTGTTTTCTTCTTAACCCTACCTTTGATAATTCCACGATCAAATGTGCTCGCACGGCGACTCGTACTAGACTAACAGAGATTGGTTATCTTTCGGAGTGTCCCATAAGCTTGTATGGAGATAACAAGGCCGCCACTTACATAGCTGAGAACCCGATGTTTCATGAGAGGACAAAACACATAGAGATTGATTGCCACTTGATTCGTAAGATGGAGAAGAGAATCATTATTAGAGCCATGCACATACCATCAGACCATTAACTTACAAATATTCTCACTAAACCTCTTGGAAGAACATGAGTGAATTTTATTTGTAACAAGCTAGGCATGTATGATATGTATGCTCAGCTTGAGGGGGAGTGGTTAGAGAGTAGTTGTCTACTATTGTTTAGTCCCACATTGGTTAGGGACAAACTTCTTTGTTTTCTTAAAACTATAAATAACATCCTAAAGAGAGCCAATAAACTCACTAGGGTTTTCCTAATTACAATGTTAATGGTTGTTAAAAGTATGGGTATGAGTCTATATTCAATGGGAAGTGTTGTTAAGGCCAAGTTCGATGCCAGAACCTAAAATTGTTTGCGGGAGCTGAACACATCTATCTATTCATAGATAATTGTTCCTCTCTTTGATTGTTATTGCGACTACTCAATGAATTCTCGAAGTCTTTGTTAACCATGATTTTAGATTTCGGTAGTAATTTTTGAACCAATTTGTTGCTGTAAGAAGCTGAATATTTACTCTTAGATCCATGCTGTAAGTTAAGCAGGATTTCGAGTTCTTGAAATAATTGTTATCTATAGAAGCCTGGTAGTGGAAAATCACTTTTTTCTATGGCTTTATTTTATCTTCATATTTTAACCATATGCTCTTAACCACGTCTATATGGAACTTACATAATCACCTTCTCAGTTTATTTTTAATATATGATTGTAGCAATAGAAGTTTGACATTAGAAGTATGTGCTTATATCATCTACTGTTGATAAATTCTTGATTCTCTCCTATTGATGATCAGCCTGGTGCTTTTATTATCTTTCAACCTGTAACCATCTTTAGTTATACTTTCTTTTTACAACTACCTTTTTTGGTAATCTGAAACGCTACTAATGGAATCTTATTTTCCCAATGCAGAAAATTTCAGGGCCCTTTGCACAGGTATCTAGATTCTAGATGATAATAATTATTTGAGATCTTCTCCTACAGTATCTTTTTTACTTGCAGATAATTGGGCCTGGCATATACTTTACTGTTTCTACCATAATAATCATCTAGCTTGAAACCCTGTTTGTAGGTGAAAAGGGCAAGGGGATATCAGGAAAAGCACTACATTACAAGGGGACTTCATTTCACCGAATAATTTCTGGTTTTATGATTCAAGGCGGTGATATTTCTCATAAGGATGGAAAGGGTGGAGAGTCAATATACGGTGGCACTTTTCCAGATGAGAACTTCATTATAAAGCATTCACATGCGGGTTTGTTTTTTGACATATTTGATTGTGTGTTTGTTTCCTTTTTTTATATTTGTCTTTGAGTGTTATAGTTTTCCCATTTTGATTCAACCACAAAATTGTTCTTTTCCCATGCCAACAAAAAAAAATGGTAGAAAACTTAGATGTGTTGCTCAATTTTATATTATGTTTTAACTTGGATTCTCTCTTGGCATTTTTTGGCACATTATAGTTCTTGTACACTTCTTAGTATACACTCTGGAAATTTTCATTTAGTGTTCATTTATTTATGATAAATAGAATAATTGTTTAAAGTAACATTCACATACTCCAATAACTTTCCATATAGAAATTGAAATGTTAAGCTCTTTAAATATATGATTATTTAAATTTTATTAATGGTGCTCTAAATATTTTGGTAAATGATCTTTTGATTTTAGTAAGAACTAATTTATTTATTATGTTTTGTTATTTCTAATAAATTTTTAATTATGAAATAATCGTGGAGATGAGGTAAGGGAATTTTTTTATTTTTTATTTTTTTCTCCATAGAAGAGTCATGTGCTAAGCACATGAGATGACATACTTCTAATATGGAGGTAGTTTCCTGGAATTTTATCAAAGTTAGTGATATTTTCTCTTAAAGAAAAAAACGAAGATGGTGTTGGAAAGCGGCTGAAGATTCATGTTAATTTATTAAAGCTTTCTTTAGTGAATGAAGTAGATACTACGTACCTCCAATTGCAATTCTTGTCACCATGTTTGAAAGCATGTCTTGAACTTGTTAGCTCCACAACACATGAAATTGCCTAGTAAACTATACAAATTATTCTTGAGATATGTAGAACTTTAGCATCATCATAAGACCTATTTAGGAAGCTATAAGATTAGGTAGCACATATTAAAAAATTAGTGTTTTGTATAACCTCGCCATCAAATTGGTGAGAAGAGGAGGATTTGGATACAATCTTTTGATGTAGTGTAAACTAGTTATTCTTTTAAAAAAGATAATGAATTAATTTCAAAGAAGCAGTAAAGAACACAGATGCATACCAACAAAGCTTGTAAAAGAAGAATGGTTAATAATAATTGCATATGCAGCAATTTGGCGGTTCACCCATGTCTATTCTATTAGCAGTACACCCTTGGCCACAATGATGGTGTTGCTCTGCCATTAGTTCTTAAAGTCCTGTGACGATTACGTGGTGATTAGACTTAGACATTTGCTAGAAACATCCCAACGTTCTTCCCTTAGGAGTTTTAAAACTAACCAAAAGTAGCATCGTAACTGTGACCAAGGGATAGTTGATAAGTAGTTAAACCCTCATAGTACAGTGATAGTACAGTGGGTATATCTGCAATTAACCCACAAAAGACAACGACGAAGTAGAGGCATGTGATTGTCTATAAACGTTCTTTGTTATCTTTTACATTCTTATTTGCTAATATTTATCTGTGTCCCATGTTTTTCTTCTTTTCTCTTGGTATTCTCTTTTTATTTGTTTCATTTTTTCCGTTTATCCTCTTGTTTGGAATTCAGATGGATGGACACTGTAATGTTGTCCTCAGAAGATGAGAAATATGGGGAGATATGAGAAAAAGTTTTGTTAGATCTCAAATGATTGTTTTGTGTCCATCAACAGATATAAGCTATGTACAAATTAGGCTGGATAAGACTATGGGCTATAGTTGAGTTTTGCAATCTCTTTGTGCTTTCAATTTTTTCAAATTTGTTAAGACAAGCAGAAAGTATCCGATTGAATTGACAATACACCCCATGTACTATTGCGGTGTAGCCACCTATACCCCGTGTACTATTGCGGTGTAGCCACCTATACCCCGTAAACTATTGCAATTAGCATTTACATCCCCATGTAAATGCAATACACCCCATGTACTATTGCGGTGTAGCCACCTATGTACTATTGCGGTGTAGCCACCTATACCCCGTAAACTATTTTATTAGCATTTACATCCCCTTTAACTCGGACAACATTATTTTTTTCCTTCGACTTAGATGGAAATTTGATCTTTTATCAACTAAACTGAAGAAAAAGGGTAATTTATCCTCAGGTGATGTTTGAAGAAAGGGAAAAAGACTGAGGCGTAATTGCAATACACCCCATGTACTATTGCGGTGTAGCCACCTATACCCCGTAAACTATTTTATTAGCATTTACATCCCCTTTAACTCGGACAACATTATTTTTTTCCTTCGACTTAGATGGAAATTTGATCTTTTATCAACTAAACTGAAGAAAAAGGGTAATTTATCCTCAGGTGACGTTTGAAGAAAGGGAAAAAGATTGTTATCTGGAATTCAATTCGTGGGGTGTAATCGCTAATAGAATAGTTTATGTGGCATAACCATGCTCCGGCAAGTTGAGGGTCATTTGCATGGGCTGAAACCTAGACTCACAACAATATCATTTTTTAAAATCTGCTTTTTAAATTTGTGGCCTATGGGAATTGAATCTAGTTGCTTTAATACCTTCTTGAAGTCCTTGCCACTATACCAAAACTCCGAAGTTATGGTGATGGTTGAGGGTTATAATTTTATATTCTAAGTTTCTAACAGTTATACTAATGGAGGATGTGTGCATGTGCATGTGCACACTATAATAGCGGTACGACTTTACTATTTATTCCCACTTGCAGGTACGGTGTCCATGGTAAACTCGGGGCCCAATTCCAATGGTTCCCAATTCTTCATAACTACAGTCAAAACATTTTGGTAAAATTTTTATTCAAACAAAAAGAAACCCATTTGATTCAAGAATCACACAAAACATATGTATCGCTAATGTCAATATTCCTATAGGCTGGATGGAGAGCATGTTGTTTTTGGAAAAGTGATTCAAGGTATGGACACAGTTTATGCAATCGAAGGTGGAGCAGGAACATACAATGGAAACCCCAGGAAAAAGGTAATTATTACCGATTCAGGAGAGATACCCAAGGCCGAGTGGGGTCAAGACGAGGAAGTATGACCTAAAAGAAAGCATGTTGCTTGCGTAAATGAAGATACCCTTGCTTTATACTTAGAGATATATAGTCCAATTTTCAATTTGAATTCTCAGGGGATACTTCTTGTGGTAGGTCTTATTTGTATAAATGATAAGTTGTATCATGTACTTCATATATGGATTCTGTTATATTTCCATTAACTTTTAACAGGATGAATTTGTAGGGAGCGACTTGCTGTAATAATCTCAACGCACTTATGTAACTATATGATATGTCATCAATTTGATTTTGGACGATCACACATTTTGATTTATGTTTTCAAACAAATTCGTGTATATTGAGCATATATTTCCTATGCATCAAGTGGTTACAAACATTAATGGTATGAGGTCATTTTTCGATTTGTTCACATGGGGTATTACTGGCAATGGTATTGTTTGTACAAAGGATAAATTAAATTTGTATTACCATTTGCATAAGAGGGTGAGCTTTGGTGTAACGGTAAGGTTGTTGTCTTGTGACCTGGAGGTTATGTGTTCAAATCCTAGAAACAGTCTCTTCGCATGCGGGGGTAAGGCTACATACATTTGATCCTCTCCAGAGCCTATAATAGTGGGAGCCATGTGTACTGGCCTATACTATTTACCATTTGCATAAGGATTCATTTCTTGTTGGATTTGTTTTAACATGAAACTTTTGCAGTAGTAGTATTGCTGCCTACCATATTCCCTTTTATCCTGTCTTAGAATAGATCTGCGATATTTAAATTTTAGTTGGTTGAAGGGAGCCACGGCTAACATCGATAAGTAGAGGGTGTGTAGTTAAAAGTACGATAACTGAGCTACATATACCAAACTATTTTTGAGCTACAACATACAAAGTGCTATTAAAATTTATGAATCAGCAAGAACCCTGCATTTTCGTTTCTTATGGTATGATTGTAGTATTGAATGTAGTATAGGGTTCCTAGCATGGTTAGCATTATTTATGGCTAAGTTACCAGATTGGTTTTAAAAATAGTACATACGGATCAAATTGGTATTAAAACTACTTTCGTGCTAATAGGATATTTAAACTGCATGATGAGACAAATAGGATGAATAAAATAAACCCAAAAATAAAATTTCTAGTCATTTTTTCGACAACCGCTCAGGTGATCTACCACATAATGCTTAGGTGACATATTGATGTTTGACGTGGTAGCTGTAGTTAACCTCATTCAATTTATTAGAAATGTGGATTTTCAAATTAGGGTAAAAGAATAGAAGAGTTTTTCTAATTTGGGGTTCTTCTCCTTCTTCCTTCAAATTGAGAGTTCATTATTACTTGAGCTCAAAGAATTTTTGTCCTCAAGTGATAGAGAACCCCAATTTAAAAGAAGAAGGTTAAGAAGCTAAAATTAAAAAAAAAAAAACTCTTTTCTTTTACCCTAATTTGAGAATCCCCACTATTAAGGTATGAAACACTTTTAAGGGATGGAACGAGGCTAATCATAGCTGATACATCATCATAAATATGCCATATAAGTATCACATGATAGCTCACGTGAGTGGTTGGCGGAAATTTTATTTTGAGTATATTTGTCTCATCGTGCAAATTTTGATGCCTTGTTATTGCCAAAGATGATTTTAAGACCAATTTAGTTATTGGGTACTACTTCTAATACCAGTTTGGTAATTTAGACTATTATTATTACTTGGGTAAATTTCACAAAACCTTTATGGACTTTGGAGTGAAGTTGAACAAAACCCTCTGAATTTTGAACATTAAAAGTATCCTTTGAGCTTTAGGGAGTTTATTGAACTTTTGACAAATTATGCAACCTGAAAATAACCTTTTTAAAAAATATAATAACAGCACTTCCTCTCTCATAAAACCATGTATTCCCCAAAAAATTTTGGCTGTTTCTCTGTATCCTCTATTCCTCCTTCCCCGAACAAAGGCTAGAATTTTCCCCAAACTTCATATTAAACTTTTGGAAAGTTCAAACAATCTGATGAAACTCTGCAAAATTTAATGTTATTCTATAGAAACTTTATTTGATTTTCAATTTATACATAAATCATTAAAGAATTTATTTTTTATTTTTTTATTATAATCACTCATCTGGACCCACTTTTTAATTAATTATTTCAGTAATTAATCTCACCTAAATCTCGATTAAGGATCATCTCTCTAATATATTTGGTATTTGACACCTAATAATTACACTAAAACCAAAAACACTTGACTTAAAAGTGAGTTCTCGTGGTTTGATTGCAATATAAAAAACCTTTAAACGTGATTTATGTAAGAGTTGACAATCAAGATGGTTTATGTAGAATGAGCCTATTTCTTTAATTTCAAAATTCAGGAGGTACTTTTTGCAAGTTATCGCAAAGCTGAGAGCGATTTTGTAAATCTTACCCCTAAATTGTGAGGGTTTCAGTGCAAATAATTGCGTATGGTAAATATTTCAATTTTACTTGGTTGATCATTTTGATTTTCTGAACCCTCGACCTATTAATTCCCTTGAATGCTGAGAGCGAGGACAAAATTTTGGGAAATCTCCTCCTCAAAAACCCTAATAAAACCCTACCACACGCACCCAAGAGGAGCTCCCCTCCCTCGCTCCCTCCTCAAGCTCGCGGCCATGGCGTCTGCTCTTCTCTCGGACTGCGCTGCTTCTTCTTGCTCGACACGCCTTCATCCGTTCAAGGGAAAAGGCGGGAACTTTTCTCGCCCCTTTCATTGCCCTGGGTCGGTCTCTTTTCCGTTGAAAACCCTAACATGTCAAGCTCGTGGATTTGGCTCGAAATCCACGGATTGGAGTTTGTCAGCCGGGTCCCAAGGTACAAATTGTTAATGCCCATTTCGAAGTTTGTCGGAAAGTTGGAATCTTTATTGTGTTATCTTTTAAGATTTCTTAGTTGAATGAGTAAACTTCCATAATACTATCATGGGTGTGAGGGATACATAACTATCATAAAGGCTCAACAATTTTCAAATCAACAGAAAAATATAAGAAAAACTATATGATAGTTTTGAGATGATACTTCTGAAAGTTAGTTGACAATTTAATAGCAATTTGATAGTGACACGAAGTTCATGGTAGTTTAGCTGAAAGTATCATGCCAAATTTGTAAAATCGTGTATATAATTTTAAGAAATTTATTTCATGTGTCGTTTACTGATAGCGTGTGGTTTTCTTTAAGGATTGGAAATTTATGACATTTTTTCTCTGAGACAAATAGTTTATGTTATTTTTGTATAAAACCCTTAATAATTCTAGTCAGTTGATAGCTCATAGTAGTTTTGTGAAATTTACCCCAGTTGAATTGTTTGATCAAATTAACTGACATTAGATAAACCTTTTCCCCACTTTTTTTGAGGGAATGGAAACATTCATCCTGATAAAAATTAAACGAAAAATGTTTTGCATCAATTGCTTCAGAAATTTTTATTTTACAAGATTTGCTGAACATTATCTAGGGGCACTTCTAAAACCAGCTACTCATTGACTGTCTAGCTTCTTCCATAAAAGATCATTGCTTTCTGTACATTGTTTTCTTAGTCGTCAACCTTGTTGATTTGACTTTTGCAGTAACAATGACTGCAAACACATTATCTACTGCTAAGGTCATTGATGGAAAATCAGTAGCAAAACAAATCCGAGAAGAAGTTGCTTCTGAAGTTGCAAAGCTGAAGGATACATTAGGTATTACCCCGGGACTAGCAGTCATTCTAGTAGGTTCTAGAAAAGATTCTCAAACATATGTGAGAAACAAGAAGAAGGCTTGTGAAGCTGTGGGTATCAAATCTTATGAAGTTAATTTACCTGAGGACTGCACAGAAGAAGATGTGCTAAAGCATATTTCAGGCTTTAATGATGATCCCTCTGTTCATGGAATCTTGGTTCAGCTTCCCCTTCCTCGGGTATGCTCACTTTCTCCATCAGTTATTTGCAATTATTGTCTGTGTATATGTCTGTGCGCACTTGTGACTATTGGCTGCATTATAAACCTTTATTTGTTAGAAAAAATGTGTCGGAATTGCGGATTATCTTAATAACTAATAAGAGAATGTGGTAACAACTTTGAAGAATGTGATTGCTTTGACAAAGATTATGGTTTGATAATATTGGGGGAAAGGAAGACCACCAGGTAGTCCCTTTTTATTTTTATGTACATCTTTTGGTGCTGGTTTCTCTTGAAGAGAAAGGTGCCTAGAAGAGATATGTTTACAGAAGGACTCGATAGAGTTAAAGATGAAGTGTGTTTGGAAGTCCTGTGATATAGCACTCTAGACAATGACTC